ATGCTGTAGTTCACTACTGCAGTGCAATATTTTTTATCTTGGCTTGGTTTTTTCTTAATAAACAGTGATAAATAATCCAATGATTTTTACCCCACAAAGTTACATTGTTATTTATGCAGTCTCCTCACAAAAATGTTCATAATAATGTGGATAAATCACAAAATAAAACTTAATGTACTATACTGGCATTTCGTAAAACGTGAATTTTCAATTACAGTACTTCGCACCTGGATCAGCAATGCCCAACTAATCACTGTGTTTAGCCCAAAACTAGTAAACTGATCAAATGGCCAAAGAGATTCACTCTCACACACATTCACTCACTCACACCCTCATAACAGGCTCTCAAACCTAAACACCAGTCTATTAAAGGTTGACAGCCGGGACTTGAAGAGCCGTAGCATGTTCCAATCGTCTCCCCCCCCCCCTTTCCCCTCCGCAAGTTAAATTAGGCAAATTGAAAGGTTGGAAACACTGTTGTGATAGCAAATACTGCCACTTGGTGCCACTTGCTATTTGTAAATATTCTATAGTTAGCAGTGATAATTGGTTCTTGTGATCACTATGGTCACATTCTGAGAAAGTTGAGTGGATTTTTTCGATGCTTTTGTCTTTTAGGGGGACAAATGGTCAGTGATGGATTAAGATTGACTTGCCATGTCTTCTCTTATAAAACCATGTCCAAAGTCATTTGCAAAGTCGCTTACCGAGGCTGAGAAAAGGTCAACTAAAGCCTGGGGTGTGGCTGGTGTCATGCGTAGAGGACTAACTCGGGGAACCTTACTTAAAACACAGCACTGCTATGCTATTATCAAACACAAGCAACAGGAACCAACTACAACCTGATTGCTCCCTCCTCCCTTTCAATTTATCAGTCTCCCTCCCTCCCCTACCTTCTGTTGACAGTCTTTCTCACATTTTCTCTGCCGTCACCTGGGTGCCTGCTCCTTTGCTCGCATTCGCTCGCACTCTCTCACACGCTCCCGCACCCTTGCTCACCCTCTCTCTTGAGCTCACCCCCTCTTTCGCGCTCATCCCCTCTCTCTCATGCCCCCCCCCCTCTCTCACCCCCCCCCCCTTCTCTCGTGCTCACCCCCTCTCGTTCTCTCTCGTTCTCTCTCTC